GTCAGTACATGACATTTCTTTTACTTTCAACATATATCCAGAATCTAACCGCTTCTCCCCATCATCACACCCATCCCCTTTGGTCCCAGCCATCAAACATCTCTTACCTGGACGATTACAATAGTCTCCTGATGGCCTCCCTGCTTTTATCCTTGCTCCCCCTACCACCTCCTGTCTGTCCTTTATCTGGAAGCTAAGATGATACCTTAAAAATGTGAGTCTGGTCATGATCGCTCCTATGCTCAGAATCCTGCAATGATGTCTCATGTTTCTCAGCGTAAAAACAAAACCCCTTATAATGGCCTATAGGCCCTTCATTATAGCTGCCCCCTTCAGCTCTCTGACTTTCTTCCTGCTCACTTGCTCCTGCCAGGTGGCTCCGTGAGCTGGTTCTCCAACAGGCCAGGCCTGCTTTTTGCACATGTTCTTTCTTGCCTGGAATGCTCTTCCTCAGATGTGTGTCATCTCCTTATCTCTTTGTTCAGATGCCCCTCCTCAAAGACATTCACCTTGACATTCTCCTCTCCTATTCCTCCTTTCCCTTAATTTGTGCTGCCTTTTCTTTTTCCTTACTGCATATTGTAATTTTGTCACACCATATGTTTAGCACAGCTTCTGGTTTCTGTTTCCCTGTGACAGGATAAAAGCCCCCCAGGGGCAGGGATACTGGTTCTCTGATGTATCCTAAGTGCTTGGAATAGCACCCAATGCATAGTAGGGACACAATAGTATTTGCTGATTAAAGAATGAACGGATGTTGTGCCGGGGAAGACAAAGATAGAGAAAGATGGCCGTGTTGGCAGTTTGAAAGCTGATACAACACAAAAAGCAATGTGGAACTGTAAATAAGAACAGCATGAATCAAAGAGACAGAATGCTGCGAGATGTGATTACGGTATCCAGAGTTCCATCTGAACCTATTGGATTTACATTCATCTTTTCAGGCACGTGTAGATACGTAAGTAGTAATCTAGTGTTTTCACCCAGTGTTTGATTATAGGTGCTAAAGAAATACATTTTGATTCACTCACTGTCAGCTCTATAATTGTCAAAACTCAGGTGTGTCCGTGAGGCAAACTTTAACAATTTCTGAGGAGAGGGAAGAGGCTGGGACTGAGGGTTGATCTGAATTATAGTTTTGACCTATGAGTGCATAGCGGACAGATCTCGTTTGGGCTTTTAATTCCTACAGATATGGATTTGAGTTCTAACTCTGTCATCTTGTAGCTATGTGGCCTTGGTTAGGGTGTTTTATACCTCAAACCTTCAACTTCCTCTGCTGCAAAGTAGGGAGAAGTGATACCCGACTTAATAATATTATCCTAGGGGCGCCTGGGTGGCTCAGTCGGTTAAGCGTCCGACTTCGGCTCAGGTCATGATCTCACGGTCCGTGAGTTCGAGCCCCGCCTCCGGCTCTGTGCTGACAGCTCAGAGCCTGGAGCCCATTTCAGATTCTGTGTCTCCCTCTCTCTCTGCCCCTCCCCTGTTCATACTCTGTCTCAAAAATAAAATAAAACGTTAAAAAAAATTTTAATAAAAAAATAATATTATCCTAAAAATAAGATATAATTTGGTGAAAGTATGTGTTTAACAAATATTGACTTGTTATTGTTGTTGAATATACATGGAGAACTTAGGCTTGATTTAGATATTAGTCTTTATATTTATTATAGGTTGAATTATGTCCCTCAAAATTCCTATTTGAATTCTTAATCCTCAATGTGACTGTATTTGGAGACAGGGCCTATAAGAGGGTAAATAAGGTTGAATGAAGTCATAAGGGTGGGACTCTGACCTGATGGGATTAGTGTCCTTGTGAGAGGAAACCCCAGAGTCTGCTCTCACTCACTCTCTGCCATGTGAGGATACATCGAAAATGTAGCCATCAGCAAGTTAGGAAAAAGGTCCCACCAGTAACCAAATAGGACGGTAACTTGATCTGGAACTTCCCAGCCTCCAGAACTGTGAGCAATAATTTTCTGTTGTTTAAGGGAATCACTCTGTGCCATTCTGTTATAGCAACCCAAAGCAATGAAGATAATATTCAATGGTGTTTCACAGACTGAAATTTAGGTGAATCTTCAGTATGTAGTCAGCATCTGGGATAACACTGGGCAGTTCCAAATCTTGGAGACAGGGTGTTCTCAAGGCCTGTGTATTATACAGATTCTGGCAAATGAGCTGGAGTTCCAGAAAGAGCCCTTGTTCCTGCAGAAAATTAGACTGATGCTTGGGATCTAAAGTGGAAGGAAGACCCAGCAGTGAAAAGAGAGCCCAACTCTCCCATACTCAGACTCACTCCAGATTGCAGATGGTGGGGGAGGGCAGAAGTATTTGATATACTTCTTTCTTTGTTCATATCTGCTTGATGGACCAGACAAAACTGAGGCTACAGGTGAAGGGCACCAGTGCCCAGATCTGAGAGGGGCCAGGGAAGATGAGGGCTGATGAATCATCTTTGTCTAGTAAGTGCTCATCCCCACTAGAACTTACAGAGCTTTTAAAGGCAAAACCTGATACCACCACATTAAAATGTGGATTGTTTTATAATTACAAGTGCATGCTATCTTTCAAAGATATTTAAAAAAGATATTTGTATTCATGTTTCACATGTAGTTAATAGAACTGAAAGTGATTTTTTAGCTATATCTAATGGACTAAATTCTCTAACATATCGTTGAGAGATTCATACAAGCTCTTTTGGGCAGTCCTATCAAGCGATTGTCCTTTACCCAAGGTCTGGGTCTAGGTTGTGTTCTCGATGTGCGGTCTTTATTTTTACCATCAGTGTATTGAGCATTTAGCATTGATAATATTTCCTGCAGCTCGAGAGATTTATCCTCCTAATTGGATATTGTTATTTCCCTTGCTTGGGTAGCCAGAATATCTGAATTTGCCCTAATTAGAATTGACTTCTCTGGGTTGACAAAGAGCCCTACAGTCTAAGTCATGATATACATAAGGAGTAAACTTAGTTTTCTAAAGAATCACTACTTTTCTGTTTGGTTTATGACAATTCAAAAATTCCATAAAAACTTTTCTAGAAATAATTGTGAAAAGTTTTCAAAGTATAAAACACACACATGTAAAACATATAACTACAATATGGAGATTCACCTAAAATCTTTCTAGTCAACATCCTTTCATGTAGGAGGTTTAAACTCTCCAACTATAATCAATAGAAATTAGTAAAAGTAAGTATTGGTCATATTGCAAAGCACTGGTGAGCAAAGCAAAGTTCTTGGCTTTGGGAGCCCACGGATTAAAAAAAATTTTTTTAATGTTTATTTATTTTTGAGAGAGACAGAGACAGAATGTGAGTGGGTTAGGGGCAGAGAGAGAAGGAGACACAGAATCCAAAGCAGGCTCCAGGCTCTGAGCTGTCAGCACAGAGCCCGACGCGGGGTTGGAACTCACGAGCTGTGAGATCATGACCTGAGCCAAAGTCGGACGCTCAACCGACTGAGCCACCCAGGTGCCCTGGGAGCCCATGGATTAAAGATGGGAGAGAGACAAGTTTGAGAGCAACTGTAACACTGTGGAATCTGCTAAGAGAGAGAGAGATTCACAGGTTGCTATAGAAACGAAGAGGAGAGGCCTTTAACTCAACAGCATCCGAGGTGTCATGGAAGTTTTCTTAAATATATAATACCGAAGGTGACTGTTGAAAGATACATGAAAATGATCCAGATGGGTGGAGAAAGGCAGGAGGAAGAGTAAGACACTACAGGAAGAAGGAACAGTGTGGTCAAAGGTTGGAAAAAATGGGATGTATTTGGGGAAACTTCATGTTTATGAGAGTACTGTATTGTGGGTGACGAGGCTGACGCCAGGCCGTGAAAGATCTTACATTTTAGGATGTTTGGGTGAAGAGACACAATGTGTTTATAGAAACTGGAATTTTGTGATTATTTTTGTACTTTAAAATTTTCACTTATTCTCCCAAAGAATGATAATGTCTACTTATCTTTCCTTGTTTACTCCTCATCATAATCTGTGTCTAGCTGGGTATTTGTAATGTATTGGATGCTACTAAAAAGATAATAGTTTTGGGCTATTGCCTTATTTTCCTTTCTTAACTTTTACCTCTATTCAATTTTCAGTTATACACGCTAGCCAAAAATGACAGAATAGGGGTCGTGATAACTTGTCTAACTGCTCCCTCTCTCCATTTATTAGCCTGCATTTTACTGGTTAAGTGGGAACATGGTCAAAAGAAATTATGTGGATATTGGGAACTGAAACCAGCAATATTCCTTGTCTGTGTTGAAAAACACTGAGAGTAGACATTGTTTTTTGTCCTTATGTTAATCAGTGCTGGGACCAGGCAAACATAACTTAGCTGTTTGCTTCAAGAAATGCCTGCTTGTGAAAGAAAAGAAAATCAATTGAAGGAAAAGTAAAGAGAATCAATGAAATAGCTTGCTCATTGAGACTTGCTTCAAGACCTCTGCCTTTCTGTCTCTACCAATCCAAAGTTATTTTAATAATAATGAAAAAATTCTGCTCAATCTCAACCAGTTTCCAACTTGCAAGGCTCACTTTAAAACTACCCAGCCATGACCTTAAACTCTATAAATACTCTGTCCTAAGGTAGTGTTCTGCCCTACTGGTCCACAGATTTTTTTCTAGTGTTTTTATTGGGAGAAATTGACATTTAATACTATTTTGCTTTAAATTAGCTTTGACATTCTACTGTTAGAATGATATTCTGATGAAGTTACTGCAGCAACATTGCCCATAAGATAGTATTTGAAGACTTGGTGAGAGATGCTGGGTAGATAAGAACGTAAATTTACAAAAAGTCATTTACTTTTTGCAGACACAATTTTATCAAATGATGTGGGGTGATAGAAGGGAGCAGAGAGAGGGAGAATGGAGATTTTGGGTGGGGGAAGATTTTAAAAAATCTTCCAAAAAGGTAGATTTCACAGAAAAAGATAAGACAACTTCATATTTATGGTACCTACTGTAACTTCAGTGGGATTGACTTTCTATAGGTGAAATGTCAGATCCAGCTCTGAGGATTTGAACCATAGACCAGATCTCTGGAGAGGAGACAGATGTTCAAAGACAAATTTCAGGTACTCTGATGCAGGTATACCCCAATATATAACGATTCCCAGTCACAATCCATATTCAGAACCCCAGACTCCTCTTCCCTATAGTGTCTATAGGAGATTCTCTAGAAATTTCTCTGTCAGTTAAAGAAAACAGTGAAATTTCTCTGTCTGTTTCTTTTCTATCAGTTCCATTATTTCTTCATCTCCTTGGTTGCCTATCTTTGGAATCCTCATCTCCACTCTGTCCAAGGCGACAGCTGATGTTTCTGCTGATTGCTTTCTGCATCCCGGGAACCCTGACTTATACAGTATTTATGTTGTGAGTGCTATGATTGATTGTAGGACAGCACAGCTAAGGCAAGGCTTTCATATCTGATAAGGATTTCGAAACAGCTATGGGATAAACAAGGGAATTGGCAACCCAGTGAGCAGCTTATAATTACTGAAATGCGGCCCGTCTTACAACTTCCAGACTCATGCTTGTTGGTGACTGCATTAAGCATTACCTGTGTCTGTCATATTTGGTTCTTCTCTCCTTTTGGGCACTCAAGTTTTAGCCCCCGTGGCAGTCGGATAAACCATGAGACTAGTTCTGGTCAATAGCTTGTGAAGGAAAACAGGATATGGGAGGTCCCAGGCAAAATTTCCTTTGCAAGCCCCTACCTATATAAACAATTTGATCTAAAAGCATATTACAAAATTCATAGGGCTGTGGGAGGTATTTATCAATGAAAGTTTAGAATAATGGTTATAGAAGAAGTATGTAGGTATTTGATTATTGTCCAATCATTTGCAGGTAAAGATTTGTTTTGTAGTGTCCAGGAACCATCTCTTTATTTTTCAGTTCCAGAACTATGTTTTCGCCTTTATTGTCAAATGCACCATTTCTGGCAAATTTAATATCTTGCACTGGGAGAAAAGGATGGAAACACTGTTATTACTTACAATGCCATGGCTCTTTGGAAGCTGCTTCTATTGAAACAATATAGAGTTCCTTGCCTCGGCACTTCTCCAGTTCCAGGCGTTGAATGCTGCTTATATCATCAGTCCTGACACTGCATTACCCATTCTGCCATTCCTGAATCCTGGCTTCCAATGATTCCCTCAAAGGTTGTTACTAGGCTTTTGTTTTGTTTTGTTTTTGATGATGCTCACACGTCATCTTCCCCATGCATGAAAAAAAAATGTGAATAATCATTCATTTTTGGTCATGTTATGTGTCCTGTTTAGAAGGTTATAGTGTAAGGGAATATAACACAACTTCTGGCCATCTCTTCTCTTAAACTCCATCGGGCTGTCATCTCTGCACTCCTAAAATGTGATCTCTTTCAATGTTGTTTACATCCCTGAATTTCACATGCTGACAAGGGCAGGGAGGGTAGGTGAGAGGCCCGTGGGCAGAGTGAGAAGAGCAGCCTCATTCACACAACGAATGTATGGTCGCTCATCTGGCATGCTTAAGACAGACCTGAAAGAATGTGCCATCACCACAACAACTGGAGGCAAGAGAAGACATCAACTCCAGAGCCCATTGGTGTTAAAGAGCAGTGATGTAAGTAAACATTTGCTCCAGAAGGACAGGCAATCCCCACATCCTCCCACTCTCTGTCATGTAATGCTGAGCCTTCATGAGAGGTGGCATCAGCTCTGCGTGTCAGCAGCGGGAAGTCCACAGAATAAAGGATACCTGCTGTCACTCTCAGATGCTGTAGACTAGAGGTGGTTTTGCAAATTAAACATGGACAGGTGAGAGCTGACATAAGGGCTCAAACATGGTTTCAGCACAAGTGTTGGTAGGGGACAGATAGTGGTTAAGAACAAAGGACTTTGTCCAGCATGAGTGAGGATCACCCAAAATGGACATGTCAGTACCATTCTGGAGGCCCAATTCTGTGTGATTCCACAAAAGAAGTATCATGCTGACCAGCAGGAGCAATTAGGCTAATCTTGAGTGGCAGTGTGGAGGCGGGTTGCTTGCTGATCCATAAGGGACAAGGATTGTGAGCGAGAAATAAGCTAGTTTGGTGTCAAGTCTATAAGGCTTTTTGTTACCACAGGAAAACCTTGTCTGCCCTGACTGACACAGACCCCATTCATGGGTGTTTGCTCTTCAGCCACAGGCCAGGCTCCTTGCTTACCAGTTCTTAGTTAGAAGGTGAGCTGAGGATTATCCAAGTAAACACATGTATAGTATTTAGAAAGGTAAATGTTAGCTATTACTTGCAGTTATTACTATCGGCATTTGTTCTCATGTTAGAGACTAACTTATCAGTGAGATATCTTTCAGAATATTTCACACAGGTCAGTCTCCAACTGTCATCGAGAATTTTTTCATCTGACTAGATCAAGACCTACCCTGTGTGTTCTCTTTTCTAGTTCTGTAATTGACTTTTTTTTTTTTTTAAACAATAGACAATGAGAAATTTTACTCCTACTAGTGAGAGAATTCCATCCTTCACTCTCAAGAGAACAAGCTTCCCTCATGGTCCAGATAGGACCACAATAACTTAGTGCACAGAACATATATTGAAATCTGACTCATCAGTCGTGGGGCCCAAATTGAGCTTCACAACTCTTTATAATAACAACTACAAACATTGGTTGAATGTTTACTGTTTGCCAGGCAACATTCTAAGTGCTTCCCGCATATTAACTCATCTGTCATCCTTATGCAAACCTATCCCGCAAAGCACGATAGTTTATGGTTACCTATTATGAGGAAGTGAGGTACAGAGAGGCTAATTGCTTTGTCCAAAGTCATGGAGCTACTCAGTTTGACCCACAATTTCAATGCGTGCAGTCTGCTTTCAGAGTCTAGGCTCTTAACGACTTCACTCTGTCTCTGTTTATTCTGATAACATGCTAACTTGATACACGTGACTTGTGGTTTTTTTTTTGGGGGGGGGTTATTTTTAATAGCCATGTTTCTAGAAAGAGTTGAAGATCAGAGATGAGGCCTATGCCATCATCCTGTAGTCTTCTGGATCTCAGGATCATGATTCAGAATTCTCGAGAACACACACACACACACACACACACACACACACACACACACACTTCCTCAAGTGCACTTGGTAAATAATGAAGTTTTGCTGCCCGGCAGTGTTCAAGTCTTTATTCATTTATTTAGGAGGTATTTATTGAGTGTCTACTGAGTGCCAAGCATTGTTCTGGGTGCTAAGGCAGTGAACAAGACAGTCTCCGCCCTGAAGGAGCTGAGAATCTCAGGGACACTTTATAGCATTCTAATACGTTCCTATAGCTCCTACCACCCAGGCTTCAGGATGCCGTGCCACAATTGATCATTTTCTTACATTACCAGCAGCCTGTCTGTGCCTCTTTGCTTGTAGTAAATCATTCAGTGTGAAGTATGAGCCTCAAGTCAAATTCTGCCAGTGGAACTGATGAGAGGTGGCGAATGACTCAAATGGAGGAGAAGAGAGATTTGCAAGCTGGAGTGGGTTCGTGGAAAGGACTTCATGTGGTATGTATCAACCAGAGTACATGGTAAGAGAAGGAGGACAGAGCCGCCTTTCTCATTTGGCAGACGGCTAGGGTGTGAGACTAATTAACAATTAAAAAATAAACACAATCCCAAAGCAGCAAATGATAATTTAATCCTGAGAAAGCTTCTTCTGGGTCAGTCATGTCAGCCATTGAATTTCGGAGCCTGGCATCAAATTCCAGCCACGAGAGATTGGCTGGAAGCTTCTGCCATCTGTCCTGGAGAATCCATGAGCTTCAGCACTGGTGGTGCAGGGAACTTTGTCACCAGAAGTGGAGATTCTCTCGGAGTTTATTGCTGCCGTCTCACTGGCTGAAGGACAGGAGCTCACATAAGACTGTGGACCACAGTCTTTGTGAAGCATTTTCCCCTGCAAATCACAAATACTTACCAAGCCCTGTATACCAGGCAGTATGCCAGACACTGCACACAGAAGAATGAATAAGATGTAGACACTGTTTTTATAGAGCACCAATCTTGTGGAGGACACACTTCCATAAATGAAACATATGATACAGCGGGGTGCATATAATGTTGGGGTGACGAGATTATTCAAGACATCAGAGGAAAAGCATCTCTTCTTAAGAGGGAAACTGAGTGCATATGGTGACCAGAATTCCCTCAAATCTTCAGATGAGGCTACATTATATTTTAACATCATCTTATTTCCAAGTTGTGCCCCTCATAGCTGATGTGGCCTTGAGAAAAGCACCTGTCAAATATGATTATATAGCCTCTTGATTTGTGATCGCTAAAGAGCCAGGGTCCATATCTTTCAAATTTCCTTGTAATTGTCCTCAGTACCATACTCTGCTTGCTGCTGATAATGCCAGCATGCTTCTGATTTAAGCAGAGAGGTGCTATTGACTACATCTGACCTCTACACTGAAAATAGATCTGTGGCCAAAAGAAGGCAATGTGAAATTGGGCCCTCATTTGGATCCTTATCTATTGGTATAAGTGCTGTCTATTTATTTGCAAATGTCTTGCATCACCAGCCTATTTTAAGGACTGAGTCTTAAAGGAAAGTGAAACTTCCTAATTAAAAAAAAATCAGAGAAATTTTAAAAAGATGGATGAGGTTGTGAAGGGGCAGGGATGGAGTGACTATATGAATTCAAATGATTCTCCTTACCAGCATAAGGGGAAATCTTTCTTTCCTAAAATTAAAATGGTTGGGAAGAATGAAACATTTGTTTGTTAAGAATTAGCCTTTCATGAACCGAATAGAGGAGAGGTATAGTTCTAGTAACCAGGAATTACTAGAACTAGGTGGGCAGAAGTCATGGCAGGAGAGGTTCTTGAAATGGAGACGAGCAAGAGCTGTCCATGCTTTGTTTGAAACGACATAGAATCCAGTGGAGCAAACTGGTTAGGAGGATGAAGATTCCAGAGCCAGCCAGAAATGTATTAAATTTCTGACTCTGTTTTTTTGTTTTTTTGTTTTTTTTAATCTCAGTTATTGGTACCAAGTTACTTTATTTACTTAAGATTGGTTATATAAAAATATATCAATATTCAATAGTATTTTTTGAGGTAGATAATCATTCCTGTTGCTTTAGGTTCTGTGATGATTCAAGGAGATAATGAACCACGCCTAGTATATAGTAAGTGCTTGATGAAAAGTGGTCCTTTACTCTTTACAATGTTGAGCATCATCAACATTGTTAAGTGAACACTGACTTCCTAGCGCTCATGCTAACACAAGAGGAGGAAGACGTATTTTATATAATTATGCCAGGAGGGTGAGCCAAGGAAAGAAGCATATGTTCCTCGGGGATGTTGGGAGACAGGAACTCTTTCTTGCTGGACTAGATCTTGAAACAATGCGAGGCTACACCTATGGCAGCCAACCTGTTGCCATGAGGAAAAATCCTGGAATTTCTAGGGATAGCCTCGAGGAGCAGAAGACATGGTGAAAGAGAAGTTAAGAGATAGAGAGACTCTTGCCCCAGATAATATCATTTCATCTGTGAATCCAGCCATAGCTAAAGTTGGCACTACCCCTGGATTTCTAATTCTCGAGCTAATAAATCTTGTTTGAGCCTCTCAGTTTTCTGATACTTGCAATGAGTCTGTATTAGAAAATGAAGTCCCATCTTTTATTTTTTAGTAAAAAGAAAAGTCTTCTCTCCCCCTCTTTTCCTGTCTTGGATGTAGCTGTCTTGTCTGGAACAGAATTAGCTGGCTATCAGCCGTGAGGCAAAAAAATTGAGGCGAAAGCTACAAGAAACACTAGAATCTCTTTTCTGATATTGTGGAGTCATAGAAATAATGCCAGCTTCACTTTTTGTATCAGTTTGATAGGGCTGCCATACACAGTAGCACAGACTGGATGGCTCAAGCGAAATAAATGTACTTTCTCACAGTTCTGGAGGCTCGAAGGCCGAGATCAAGGTGTTGCCGGGCACATCTCTTCTGAGGCCTCTGTCCTTGGCTTGTAGATGGCCGGCCGTCCTCTCTGTGCGTCTTTACATGGTCTTCCCTCTGTGTGTGTATATGTCCTAATCTCCTCTTCTTGTTAATATACCAGTAGATTAGATTGGGGGCACCCTAACGACCTCAACTTAGTTAAAGACCTTATCTCCAGATACAGTCCCATTCTGAAGCACTGGGGCATTATGACTTCAATATACATTTTTTTAGGAAAAACAATTCAGTCCATATGACTTTTATTGCAGAGAAGCAATAGTCGTCATATTTTGGGTTATTTTACTAATATTTTAGCAGCTAAAAAATGTTAGCAGCTAAATGAAATGGTTAAACATGGATGAAAGAGGCTTGCTCTAATTTTTATTTTTGTAAATGTATTTCTTTGGGCTTACTAAGAGCCAGGCTATCACCTCATGGTTTGGAAAAACTCATAATTCTCAGGAGAAAGGCATTTGCAGACAGAAGACGCCTTGCTCTTGAGTTCAGGAGTGCAGATTATCTTGTTCTTTCATTTTTTTTTTTTAAAGACTGGTTTTCCAGAACTCCAGGTTATACATTTAAGGCTTTAATGGCTTAGAGAGACCACCGGAGAAGGAGGAAATTTTTTTAAAAAGAAATGTGGACTAGGCTTCATAAGGGCAAAATCCCTGTCTTACAGCTGGAAGTCTGATCGAGACAATTAATGGTAGCGTCTGCCCGTACGAAGACACCTAGTAGTTCCTGGATGCCAAAAAAAATATTGCACCCTCGCCTTCCAAGACTATACTATTCTGCTCAATCCTTGACTCTGAGTTGGTTACTGCAAATATAGCATTTTCAACTACACAGTAGACGCATTGTCTTTTTGGTAACTTACAGCGCAGCTGAGCAAACTGGCCTCATCGCCCTGGGGGATGAAAAACTTACGTACATGGGATTCTAGGTCAGTTAGGTAGAAGAAGAAACATATCTCTAAGTGCTGAAAAGAAAATTCGAGTTTTCAAATGTTGTCCATGACTTGTTTTCTACTCGTTTCTAATTCCTCAAAGAGGCAATGCTATTTAAAATGAGATTTCGGTCATTAAAAAAAAAAAAAAAGGAATGGTATTTGAGAACTAGTCATTCAGATACAATAAAGCTTCAATGAATTTTTTTCCTCCACGATTTTAATATAAAGCCTGATCCTATATCTCTGCATGGGTTGAGCGCCTACATCTTTTTAATGGAACTTTAGCTTGAATAGGCACTCTAGGGGAGAGGTGGGACACAGGGCTTTCTCAGCAGCTGCGTTTGTCCGACAGAGGGCACTTGGAACTCACACATAAATAGCAGCCATGACCGCGCTGTTTAAGATATCCATTTTCATTGCCATGGTGATTCTTAATTAACGCATCGCATCAGGTTTTCATTGACACCAGTAAAATGAGGTGACTGTGACCTTGATTAATAAAATGTGTAATCATTCTGGAACTATCGTGAGTTAGAAACTTGTTAGATATTTCTTCCCAGTGATTACACTGGCCTGTAATCAATAAAACCAAAATCTACATTGCAGATTATTCAAGCTCCGTCTCCAGGGTGAAGACTTTTATTTCTTCTTAAAAATAAAGTTGAGCATATATTTGTGACAGTTTAAGGATAAGAAAGTAACAGACTAAATAACATGTTTTATTATATGAAGAGTATTGACTTGCTTGATACTTCTCAATATAAAATACACAGCTTTCAGACACGGGGGAAGGCACTTCAGAGTGTTGTTGATATTTCTAAGATTCTGTTTTTTAAATTTCAGCGTCCAGATCAAGAAGCAAAATGAAAAGAATGAAATTCTTGGACGGTTCGGTTTACAAGTTAAAACCTACAACTTACCCCTAGAGGGCGCTCTTCACTTTGTTATCTCTCAGAAGCCTTGCCTGGCAATGGCTGCCATTCAAATGGAAAACGTCGCACTTAATGTTTGTGAATTGTGTAAGAATAATCAGAAGAACCCCACAATGCTGGGCAGATTTTTTACCCCTAACGCTTCTGTTGGTTGTGATGTAAAGTCCTTGACTGAATCAAATGTAAACTGTAAGGATTCAGCAAATCCAGGTTGCCTGTGCAAATATCCGTAACATGTAATTCACTATCAACATTTTTATTCTCATTAAACAGACAAAGCACACAATTAAGAAACTTTATGCTTCTCTCATGTTTTCACTTTCATAGAAGCGATTTTGCATATTGATCACTTTCATACCATATCTTTGTGAGAGGTTTTATAGCACAAAGTCAAATAGTTCATTGGTTTCTTTCTTCTTCTTCTTTTTTTTTTTCCCCCAGAATGATAAATAAATAATTGACCTTATAAATATCCTGATCATTGCACTAACTTCATGGAGCTGGTCTAACATATCCCTAACTCTGAGGTTTTATAAGTTTGCTTTCTTTTTTTTTTTGTCAATTAAAAAAAAAATACTTATTTATTTTTGAGAGAGACACACAGAGTGTGAGTGGGAAGGGGCAGAGAGCTAGGGAGACACAGACTCTGAAGCAGGCTCCAGGCTCTGAGCTGTCAGCACAGAGCCCGACACAGGACCCACAAACTGTGAGATCATGACCTGAGCCGAAGTCAGATGCTTAACCTACTGAGCCACCCAGGAACCCCTATCAGTTTGCTTTCTCAGTAGAGTACATGGTCGGTTGTATTATTTGAAAATATTTACTCTACTTCCTCAAAATGGGCAGAAAATACTTCCCCACTCCATTATGCTAGACTTGGTAAATGGAATGTGAGAAGTAACCATGCTACTTTCAACAAAGACCTTAACTGTGATTTAATATCTCTTGTGCTTCCTTTCTGTCGTGAGAATGCATTCGTTACACATAGCAGTTGCCCCTTCAGCCTGGGTCCCTGACTGTGAAGATATGTGAAACAGTGCCAAAGTATTCACAGCCAAGTGGCACTTGCTAACATGTCACATGGGCAAGAAATGTGTTTGTTGTTATTAACTGCCAGAGTGTTGGGGTTGCTCTTTGTGCAGCGAGGAAGCTAATATAAAAACTGATGGGGAGTAGGGTGCTGTTGTATGAAAAAAAAATCAGTGGCAATTCCTTCGGGATAAAGCTGTTGGTGGTGAGAAAGTATTGAAGGAAACTGAAAAGTGGTAATCAGTGTAATAATACAGGTTTGCTGCAGTGACCATAACTGCAGATAGCCTTCTGATGAACTTGTGGCTTTGGCTGGGAAGGTATTTAAATGGAATATTGCTAGAGTGTGTTACTGTTACTAGCTGCATTTGATATTTTAAAAATGAAATGAATCCAGAAAATAACTGACTGGCCTGTTTGCAGGATGGCATGAAAAAGAAAACAGGGAGCCTTAAATTCTGGGATTTCAGAGTTGAAAAATGGGGCTGTTTTTAATCTTCAAGTGACAAAAGATAAAATTGAGAAATGTATTGAGCTCAACACCACTGATTAAGATGTAGGCTGAAAACAAATTGTGAGAGTGGCCACAATTCCTGAAGGCATGAGTCTGCAATAGCTTGACAAGCCCACAGTGTCCTTAAGTCTAGAGAAAAACATACGTCCACCAGAGAATTCTGGCGTAGGCTGCTGGCGCACAAAAATGGAATCAAATAAATCAATAGCTAACAAAGTCTTTGAAAGAGTTCTACTGCTCCAAGCACTGTCATCCTCAAGTAAGAGTTTGTGACTTTTTGAGACAATTTGGGCAAGAAGCCGGCTGACCAAATTGCTCCTTCCCCCAGGATGGCACAATCCCCGATGCCCTCCCAACATACAACCAGGGAGGATGGTAACAGGAAAAAAAAAAGATGTCCTGGAGGGTGGAGTCAAGACCCACAGAGAAAGAGGGACTGGGGAGCTACCTGCAGACAGCAGAACAGGGGCTTACTCAAGGAACATTCCCTGCCCCAGGATAGGAGGGCCTCTAATGTTTGTTCAGCAGAACTTCCAAAGTGCTGTGTATCAATGATTGATTGTGAAGTGCTTCTCATCCTTCCTCTTTACGAATGGGGGCATTTATTGTAATTATTTATACCCGATTTAGAGACGCATGAGATCTTCAAATTGGCATCCAACGCCATAATGGGATGAGCGGTTCCAGGTACACTTCTTGAAAGTGGGTAAGTCTGAATGAGAAAGGAAGGAACATGGGATGCCTAGATGGCTCAGTCGCTTAAGCATCCGACTTTGACTCAGGTCACGATCTCGCGGTTTGGGAGTTCAAGCCCCGCGTCGGGCTCGGTGCTGACAGTTCAGAGCCTGGAGCCTGCTTTGGATTCTGTCTCTCCCTCGCTCTGCCCCTCCCCAGCTCATGTTCTGTCTATGTCTCTCTCTCTCTCTCTCTTTCTCTCTCTCTCTCAAAAATAAATATAAAAAGAAAGAGAGAGAGAAAGGAACAGTGAATACCCACAGGAGGTGGTCTGTGATAGATTGTGTTATTGTTTCCAATATTGATTTCCCTCTCCTGTTAGGGGCAGGGTGGATTTTCCTGCCCCACTGCTGTTGGGCTAGTCTGTGTGACTGTTTTTGACCAATGGGATATGAGCCAATGAGACACAGGCTCTATCCGAACAGGAGCTTCAAATGTGATGCCTCTTATTCTTAGTCTCTGCCATGAAAATGAGCATCCCCCGAAGAGGGACTTAGCCTTTACCTGAGGCCCTTGAATGAAAGGACATGCAGAGCAGAGCTGAGCAGCCCTGTCTATCCTGAAAACACAGACGTATGAGTGAGGATAATGTTTGCTCTTGCAAGCCCCCCCCGGATGTTGGTTCATTTACCTCACAGCGAGCTGACTGATGTAGGACATGAGCCCTTGTCTGACATTCCCTTTGCGGTTTTGTTCAAGGGAGATAATACACATACATATATTAATTTGGTTTTCAAAAAACAATTATTTTAACTATAGCATTCCAAAAAAAAAAATCTTAGCTTCTATGCCAAGTACAATGAGATGTAATTTTTCTTATTATAATGAAGCAAACACCTGCTCACGTTGAGACCTCCAGCTCAGTCTATTTCCAATTGAAAAGCATTTCATAAAAGAATGAAAGGTCACTGAGTTACTTTCGTTGGACTCTATGATGTATCTGTAGTGAAATAACGAGTTAGGTCAATCCATTTGTAATGTGTTCCCTAAGAGTGAGCCGGACACGTTGGAAAGCTACATATGGATTATCGACGTAAAGTGTACCACTGAGAAATGTGTCTTTATATTTCTCAGTTCAACATGTAGCCAGTGACCCTTCACCTGGGTGCTGTGTCGCATTAGCATGTAAAATCATTCAGGGCTACACCCCATGTGATATACTAGTTGTGACGTAACATTCGCGAACAATTTTCTTCTGTTATGAATCAGAGCCAAGTCAAGATTGTCCGTGTGCTAACCACAGGCTTGCTTTCATCAAAACATGTGTGAGAGAGTCATGGGTGGAGTTACATGTAGCACCCCAGTCGCCTCTCAAAATCTCACGTTCATTGGGTTGCGTTTCAGGCCAAAATAGAAGCTGCACTTGGAAACGTGTTCCACGGAGGAACCTCATCTGTTATGTGAAGGTGTAGCAGGGGAAGGTTGAAATCTCCCACAATTCCCGCAAGAACTGATGTGGCTTCTAACGGAGGTAAATCAAAGATCGGAGGTGGTGTGCCAAGGAGCAGTGGGGCCTCTGATCTTCGAGTTTGGAAATAGGGTAAGCGGAGGACATGAGGAACGACACTGAAAAGCCTGGGGAAAGTGGCAGAGAGATCCTTCTGCTCAAAGATGTTTCCCACCTCCATTTTTCTGTTTGCGTTAATACAAGTCGTCTTCTAAAATGCACAAAACGGAGAGCATGGGTGGCTCTTAAGTGGTTAAGCATCCGACTTCCGCTCGGGTCATGATCTCTCCGTCAGTGGGTTCGAGCCCCGCGTGGGGCTCTGTGCTGGTGGCTCAGTTGCCTGGAGCCTGTTTCGGATTCTGCGTCTCCTTCTCTCTCTGCCCCTCCCCCACTCGTGCTCTGTCTCTGTGTCTCTCTCTCAAAAAATAAACATTAAAATTTTGTTTTAACTTGTTTAAGAAATCAATGAAATGCACAAACCCACTAGGAAGAGTAGAAATTTAACTTTTCTAATGCTATAGGGAGTAAGTCCGTGACAAGTCCGTGTGTGGGAGGGGGCAATCTTTCTAGAGCTGAGCTGGGAGTGTTCAGGTGAAGAGGCTGAGTGGGTGAGGCAGCCCCACTGGGTGAACCGAATCTGACCTGTGCTGGACTCTCAGCAGGTAGGAACGACTGAGAGGGCATGTAATGCCAATAGGGCTTAAGGACATTTAGGGCTTTGGAAACCTTCCGCCAGTCTACTTTTCTTGCATTACGGCCTGTCATTCTGTACTAACTCCCACACAGGACGTGGTGACTCCCCCAAGCACATCCCCCACGACGGGACTTCTGCCTGGATTGCTTTTTGTACTGTCAGCCCTAAATACTTACTGATTCCTCAATGTCTGTCTCAGACGTCTCTGCCTCCATGACACCTGAGTGATTCCCTTGACAGATGCAGCTTCCTCTTTCCCACTTTGTTCGCACGCTCCTGGTACCTCTCACATCGTCCTGTCATTATTTGTGTGGGTACTACGGATATATCGAACACAATGTCTAAGGCTTATTCATCTTCGTAGCCTAATCCCCTTACCTGAGCATCTTACACATAATGAACGTTCAATAAAAGCTTACCCTTGGGGTGGAGGGAAGCGGAGAGAGGAAGTCAGAAAAGTTATGTAGATGCGAGATGGCAGCGGATGGCTTTCTAAACAAACTTCCTCCACTGTGAAGTTTTCCCTAGGGTGACAGCTGGCCCAGGTACCCCTGCGAATCATTTTGCTTGTGGATTTTGGTACCTGACAATAGTCTTAGATGGATTTTAGTGCTGCAAAGCATTCTCCCTCATAATGGAAGCTGCGGCTGGCAGTGGGTATGTGGGCAACGGTCCTTCCCATGCTGCCCACCTTGTCTCTGACTTATGGGCACGCAGTTGTGTAGAGAGCTTGTGGCTGCTTGGCGTCCTGCCTCCTTACCCACAAAGGATGTTGATTACTTTGGATCAAAAAAGCTCCCTCTTTCTGACTTTTGCACGCTAGGTTGGCCGCAGAGGTGTTATGGACATTTCCCAGACTTTTTTTTTTTTTTCTGCTCTAAGCTGGGCTTTCTTTTTTATGCTACATTTCCTTTGCTTTGATCTGCTTGTGGTCACCCCCACTTTGGCTTGTAAAGCAGCATTGTTTGGGGACCCTGCTGTCATGCATCCTCTGAGCACATCCTGCCTGGCAATGCTCCTGGCAGAAGGC